CCACATCTGCTCTGTCAGAACCGGCCATGAACACCGTCCTCTCTCAGTCCACATCTGCTCTGTCAGAACCGGCCCTGAACACCGTCATCTCTCAGTCCACATCTGCTCTGTCAGAACCGGCCCTGAACACAGTCATCTCTCGGTCCACATCTGCTCTGTCAGAACCGGCCCTGAACACCGTCATCTCTCAGTCCACATCTGCTCTGTCAGAACCGGCCCTGAACACCATCATCTCTCGGTCCACATCTGCTCTGTCAGAACCGGCCCTGAACACCGTCCTCTCTCAGTCCACATCTGCTCTGTCAGAACCGGGCCTGAACACAGTCATCTCTCGGTCCACATTTGCTCTGTCAGAACCGGCCCTGAACACCGTCATCTCTCAGTCCACATCTGCTCTGTCAGAACCGGCCCTGAACACCATCATCTCTCGGTCCACATCTGCTCTGTCAGAACCGGCCCTGAACACCGTCATCTCTCAGTCCACATCTGCTCTGTCAGAACCGGCCCTGATCACCGTCCTCTCTCAGTCCACATCTGCTCTGTCAGAACCGGCCCTGAACACCGTCATCTCTCGGTCCACATCTGCTCTGTCAGAACCGGCCCTGAACACCGTCATCTCTCAGTCCACATCTGCTCTGTCAGAACCGGCCCTGAACACCATCATCTCTCGGTCCACATCTGCTCTGTCAGAACCGGCCCTGAACACCATCATCTCTCGGTCCACATCTGCTCTGTCAGAACCGGCCCTGAACACCATCATCTCTCGGTCCACATCTGCTCTGTCAGAACCGGCCCTGAACACCGTCATCTCTCGGTCCACATCTGCTCTGTCAGAACCGGCCCTGAACACCGTCCTCTCTCAGTCCACATCTGCTCTGTCAGAACCGGCCCTGAACACCATCATCTCTCAGTCCACATCTGCTCTGTCAGAACCGGCCCTGAACACCGTCATCTCTCAGTCCACATCTGCTCTGTCAGAACCGGCCCTGAACACCGTCATCTCTCGGTCCACATCTGCTCTGTCAGAACCGGCCCTGAACACCGTCATCTCTCAGTCCACATCTGCTCTGTCAGAACCGGCCCTGATCACCGTCCTCTCTCAGTCCACATCTGCTCTGTCAGAACCGGCCCTGAACACCGTCATCTCTCAGTCCACATCTGCTCTGTCAGAACCGGCCCTGATCACCGTCCTCTCTCAGTCCACATCTGCTCTGTCAGAACCGGCCCTGAACACCGTCATCTCTCGGTCCACATCTGCTCTGTCAGAACCGGCCCTGAACACCGTCATCTCTCAGTCCACATCTGCTCTGTCAGAACCGGCCCTGAACACCATCATCTCTCAGTCCACATCTGCTCTGTCAGAACCGGCCCTGAACACCATCATCTCTCGGTCCACATCTGCTCTGTCAGAACCGGCCCTGAACACCATCATCTCTCGGTCCACATCTGCTCTGTCAGAACCGGCCCTGAACACCGTCCTCTCTCAGTCCACATCTGCTCTGTCAGAACCGGCCCTGAACACCGTCATCTCTCGGTCCACATCTGCTCTGTCAGAACCGGCCCTGAACACCGTCATCTCTCGGTCCACATCTGCTGTGTCAGAACCGGCCCTGAACACCGTCATCTCTCTGTCAGAACCGGCCCTGAACACCGTCCTCTCTCGGTCCACATCTGCTCTGTCAGAACCGGCCCTGAACACCATCATCTCTCGGTCCACATCTGCTCTGTCAGAACCGGCCCTGAACACCGTCATCTCTCAGTCCACATCTGCTCTGTCAGAACCGGCCCTGAACACCATCATCTCTCTGTCCACATCTGCTCTCTCAGAACCGGCCCTGAACACCGTCATCTCTCAGTCCATATCTGCTCTGTCAGAACCGGCCATGAACACCGTCCTCTCTCGGTCCACATCTGCTCTGTCAGAACCGGCCCTGAACACCATCATCTCTCAGTCCACATCTGCTCTGTCAGAACCGGCCCTGAACACCGTCATCTCTCAGTCCACATCTGCTCTGTCAGAACCGGCCCTGAACACCATCATCTCTCAGTCCACATCTGCTCTGTCAGAACCGGCCCTGAACACCGTCCTCTGTCTGTCAGAACCGGCCCTGAACACCGTCATCTCTCAGTCCACATCTGCTCTGTCAGAACCGGCCCTGAACACCGTCATCTTTCTGTCCACATCTGCTCTGTCAGAACCGGCCCTGAACACCGTCATCTCTCAGTCCACATCTGCTCTGTCAGAACCGGCCCTGAACACCATCATCTCTCGGTCCACATCTGCTCTGTCAGAACCGGCCCTGAACACCGTCATCTCTCGGTCCACATCTGCTCTGTCAGAACCGGCCCTGAACACCGTCATCTCTCGGTCCACATCTGCTCTGTCAGAACCGGCCCTGAACACCGTCATCTCTCGGTCCACATCTGCTCTGTCAGAACCGGGCCTGAACACAGTCATCTCTCGGTCCACATTTGCTCTGTCAGAACCGGCCCTGAACACCGTCATCTCTCGGTCCACATCTGCTCTGTCAGAACCGGCCCTGAACACCGTCATCTCTCGGTCCACATCTGCTCTGTCAGAACCGGCCCTGAACACCGTCATCTCTCGGTCCACATCTGCTCTGTCAGAACCGGCCATGAACACCGTCCTCTCTCAGTCCACATCTGCTCTGTCAGAACCGGCCATGAACACCGTCCTCTCTCGGTCCACATCTGCTCTGTCAGAACCGGCCCTGAACACCGTCCTCTCTCAGTCCACATCTGCTCTGTCAGAACCGGCCCTGAACACCATCATCTCTCGGTCCACATCTGCTCTGTCAGAACCGGCCCTGAACACCGTCATCTCTCTGTCAGAACCGGCCCTGAACACCGTCATCTCTCAGTCCACATCTGCTCTGTCAGAACCGGCCCTGAACACCATCATCTCTCGGTCCACATCTGCTCTGTCAGAACCGGCCCTGAACACCGTCATCTCTCGGTCCACATCTGCTCTGTCAGAACCGGCCCTGAACACCGTCATCTCTCGGTCCACATCTGCTCTGTCAGAACCGGCCCTGAACACCGTCATCTCTCGGTCCACATCTGCTCTGTCAGAACCGGCCATGAACACCGTCCTCTCTCAGTCCACATCTGCTCTGTCAGAACCGGCCATGAACACCGTCCTCTCTCGGTCCACATCAGCTCTGTCAGAACCGGCCCTGAACACCGTCCTCTCTCAGTCCACATCTGCTCTGTCAGAACCGGCCCTGAACACCATCATCTCTCGGTCCACATCTGCTCTGTCAGAACCGGCCCTGAACACCTTCATCTCTCTGTCAGAACTGGCCCTGAACACCGTCATCTCTCGGTCCACATCTGCTCTGTCAGAACCGGCCCTGAACACCATCATCTCTCGGTCCACATCTGCTCTGTCAGAACCGGCCCTGAACACCGTCATCTCTCGGTCCACATCTGCTCTGTCAGAACCGGCCCTGATCACCGTCCTCTCTCAGTCCACATCTGCTCTGTCAGAACCGGCCCTGAACACCGTCATCTCTCGGTCCACATCTGCTCTCTCAGAACCGGCCCTGAACACCGTCATCTCTCAGTCCACATCTGCTCTGTCAGAACCGGCCCTGAACACCGTCATCTCTCAGTCCACATCTGCTCTGTCAGAACCGGCCCTGAACACCGTCATCTCTCGGTCCACATCTGCTCTGTCAGAACCGGCCCTGAACACCGTCATCTCTCTGTCCACATCTGCTCTGTCAGAACCGGCCCTGATCACCGTCCTCTCTCAGTCCACATCTGCTCTGTCAGAACCGGCCCTGAACACCGTCATCTCTCGGTCCACATCTGCTCTGTCAGAACCGGCCCTGAACACCGTTATCTCTCAGTCCACATCTGCTCTGTCAGAACCGGCCCTGAACACCATCATCTCTCGGTCCACATCTGCTCTGTCAGAACCGGCCCTGAACACCATCATCTCTCGGTCCACATCTGCTCTGTCAGAACCGGCCCTGAACACCATCATCTCTCAGTCCACATCTGCTCTGTCAGAACCGGCCCTGAACACCATCATCTCTCGGTCCACATCTGCTCTGTCAGAACCGGCCCTGAACACCGTCATCTCTCGGTCCACATCTGCTCTGTCAGAACCGGCCCTGAACACCGTCATCTCTCAGTCCACATCTGCTCTGTCAGAACCGGCCCTAACCACCGTCATCTCTCAGTCCACATCTGCTCTGTCAGAACCGGCCCTGAACACCGTCATCTCTCGGTCCACATCTGCTCTGTCAGAACCGGCCCTGAACACCGTCATCTCTCGGTCCACATCTGCTCTGTCAGAACCGGTCTCTACTGTTGGTGATGGAGAACGTGAACCGAAGTGTCCACATGCTCTTCGTGAAGATCGGGTTCATTTCTGTTGTAGTCAAGTCATTTGATTAATCAAATCCCCCAAAAAACAGCAATGAATGCTGGTTATGAAATGAAAAACAGAGATAGAATCACACAATTATCAAAAATAAAATTAATGTATTAGAATATAATTAAAAATTATAATACATAAGCACAAATGTACAGACACTGTTGATAATTTTATGCATATGATATGTATACATTTGAAGGGAATTTATTTGAGAGTATTTCTGAGAGTATTTGAACAATCAAATAAAACAGCATTAATGAGTGCATCTATAGATCCATTTAAGGCTCAACATATCCTGATGTGTCACTGTGATCTTGCAAAATACGTTTGATATGAGGAGTGTGACTCAATCCTTTTTTTTTCTTCTTTTTTTTTTTTTATTAACTTCAATTTCAGAAAAGGGTACAAATCACAAATAACTAAACAAAATATACATAACAGTATACAAAAATACAACACACAAAAATAATACAATGTCAGGGGAAGAGTGTGACTCAATCCTTCGATCGCTGGTTCTTACGCAATGGCGTCATGTGCCGTGGCCCCGCCCCCTCGCAGGCTCGTGCCCCTGCTCTCCTGCGCATGCGCTGTCGCCAGAAGCTGAGTCTCTCTGTGTTTGTGTGTGTGTGTTCGGCACCGGTATAAAAGCTCTCGGTGGTGTTTCTCGATCATCATGTCTTTGTCACCGGATAAACGGAGAAAGATGGAGTCTGCGCTCGAGCAGATCAAGAAATACACGGTGGTCGTCGCAGACACCGGAGACTTCAACGGTAAATGCCTTCCGTTAATTAATCTGGCGTGAGTTTACTTCTGCTCGTGCGTGACTTCATTAATCCTCGAACCTGTTGACAGACAGAGTTTATCAACTCTCTAATCCACGAGCATGCTGTCTGTTCACAGAAAACTACAAATGTCGTTCTCTTCATTTTCCTCCGAAGAAAAAAGTTTGGTCGTTATTGGTTAATGATTGCTAGGTGAAGTTAATCTGCATTGAGGAACTGGCGCTTTCGCAATTTTGCTACAGTTTTTTCCAGACTATTGTCTTCAGTTAGCGGAACTGATTGATAATAATATATGCATGAGTAATTAGGAACCAGTTAAATTAGTCAGATCTGTGAAAAACATGTGATTCCTCCCGGTAATTGGTTTAATGTAGCAAACCAAATCGACTGGGTAGGAAAAATACTGGTGTGGTGTCGGAGACCCGGAAGTGCTGGCGGACACGCCTCATCTTATGAATATTAAGCAGTCGGAGACGGCCAACCTGATTGGCCGAGAGGCAGAGCTTAGTAATGAGCGCTAGTCACCCGACGAATTACCCAAGCTTTATTAATATTAATCATTTTACGTGTAAGCGTGAGCGGCTTAATTCATGTTTATGGGTTTGGCTGCCTTTATATTTTTGCTAGAAGGAAGTAAATGATTTCCGCAAAAAAACATGAAAACAGAAATGATCAGTTAAAATAAAAATATTAACTTTTTAATGACACAAAACCCCACGAATACTGATGTAAAGCCTTATTTTCACTCACACATACTGTTGTACAGACGTTTTATTTGGATATGTTTTTCACATATGTAAACACTGTTGACAGGCAGACTTGACTTGTGAGTTTGAGTTGCCAGAGTACACAGTAAGACGGATTACCCCTAGGGTTGCCAACCGTTCCGTATAATACGGAATCGTTCCGTATTTGACACATAAAAGGCTTGTTCCGTATTGAACTGATACGGAACGCACTTTGTTCCGTATTTTTGAGAATCAATTCAGTGCAAATCCATGACAGACGCATAGCTTCTAATATATATGCCAGACAGACTATGATGAATGAACGAAGACCCCCTGCTATAATGGCAAATTCGGGGACTTGGCGCCCCCTTGACGGGCTGACGTGTAATGACGTAGAGTTGGCTCATTGGTCGCACGTCAGAGGCGCCCGCGCCATTGGATGTGCAGTTGCCGCAGCGCAGCCTGAGCGAGCCAGACGCTCAATGTGCAAGCTGTGCAGCTGCAAATGCATTTTACAGTCTTCAGTAAATCGAGTAAAATGTGTTTCCGAAGACATTTGTAGGCTATGATAAGAAAAACTACTAAAATTTTTTTTTTTTTTACATTTTTTGCACCGGAAAGAACATTCTAGAAGTCTAATTCTATTGAATAAGTTCGCACAAGGCTACAGAAAACTGTTGTGTTTATTTTTCTTCAAATGCAGTCTAAGCCGATGAGTTTCGAATGTTATATGTTGTTTTTGGTTAAGTTAAAAAATAAAACGTATTATAATCTAAACAAATACATGGTTCATTTTTGGCAAAATGATCATGATAGCCTTTATATATCTGTGTGGTTAAGTCTTGTATATTGAATAAGCCTACTTTGCTATTCTATAAATATATAGGCCTAATAAGTTGTATTATAATATGATATAAAATGTATGAATTTCAGGGAGCATGTCACTACCAATTATTCCTTACCGTTCCTTATTTCCATTTCAGAAAGTTGGCAACCCTAATTACCCCTAACTATTTGCTAGTTGCTCATACTAGTTCTAAAGGTGATGATACACAGGGCAACTTTTTGAGCAATGTTGCTGGGCAATCTTGCCGAGCGATTGTTGCTTGGGCACTTTCCCATTGAAAATGGATAATAAAGTTATATCTGAATAATTTAGATCAGTCGTGGGCCCTATGTCTCATCTGGTTGCCCGTTAACAGTAACATTGCCCTGCAACATTGCTCAAAAAGTTGCCCTGTGTATCATCACCTTAAGACGCGGTCTTAAAGGGGTGGTTGGTTGCGATTGAACTTTTTTCATTTTAAATAGTGTGTAATTTTGCTGTTGGTGCATGAACAGTATAAGTTGCTGTGCTGAAAGTTCAACGTAAGCAGAGATATCGTCTTTTAAAAATCAGGAAAGTTTAATGCCTACAAAAACGACTCGAATGGGACTACAACGAGATACTTCCCGGGTTTTACACGTAACTAACCCATAAATTTACATCAACCCTCCCGAGTCCGGAATATGCACTAAAGGGGGCGTGGCCATATTTCTGCGGCTTTGTCGAGGAGGAAGAGTTCTAGCGGAGAGCTGTAGCCCTGCCGTCGAAAGTGTGTTATGTTCACCCAGCTGTCTGTCAGGTCTTCTGTGTTCGGGCTTCCCACAGACGCTGTAGTTCGTCAACAATGGCTAAAAATTATGTTTGATTATGTTCCTGAAAAAGGGCTGGGCAACGATTAATCGCAATTAATCGCATCCAAAATGAAAGTTTGTGTTTACATAATATATGTGTGTGGAGTGTGTATAATTATTTTGTATATATAAATACACACAAATGCATGTATATATTTATACATAATTAATATTTTATATATAAATATTTGATATATTAATAACACATTTTTCTTAAATATATACATGCATGTGTGTGTATTTATATGTATATATATATATAATAATTATACACACTACACACACATATATTATGTAAACACAAACTTTCATTTTGGATGCGATTAATGGTTGCCCAGCCCTATTAAAATCGTAATTTAGCTCTCTGTGCTGCGCATTTACGGAAGACAGCTTCCACAATCTCCACGAATTCAATGCCGGATTCAACAAGAAACTGTTATTAAAACACGAAGCAGTTCCAACTTTAAAACCAGAGGCAGCAGTTGTTGGGCCACAACCTTTAAGTAAGACTTAATAATTTTAAATGTATTTGCATGTATAATTTCAGACGTAAGGTTTTAGTTTTATCAAGGACGTAAACAAACAGCGCTGGCTTTAGTAGCCACTTAGTTATGCTATTTCGTGTGTCTATGACATTCGCGTACAAACATTTCGGACCTGAATTTGTAATTATGTACTAATTTTGAAAATGTATTTTCCATGTATTCTTTATGACGTAATTTTTCGATCTGATCAAGAACGTAAACCAATGCCAACGCTGTTTGTTTATGGTAGCCAGTTAGTTTGATGCTATTTTGTGTATAAGACAAACGTGTATAAAGTTCAAATAATTATATGTAATCGCAACAGCAAACTTCAGCTGCTGTTATCAGTGTACAGTATGGTTTTAACACAGTTGCCACATGTACACCTAAAGAAAACGATACACTGAGTAAACTAAGTTTTGTGAATAGATAAACGGTTGTTCATTGTATCGATAAAACAATAACTTTAAAAAAAAACGGTATTACTCAGTCATTTATTCAGTTATATTAAATGTTTAATCAGGAGAAAACCGTATCTCTAAAGCTAACAAGCAGCAGTAGCATTTTCAAGTAACAGCATATCAAAATTCTTATATAATAATAGTAGAATAGAATAATAATAATAAAAATGTACCATTCAGAAACGTTTTGTAAGAGCCGTGTTTGGGGAGGTTCTGCTTGACTCTCGTCATCGCCGCTTTCTGGGTCTGATTCAGGCTCAAACTGATACGGCAGTATCGACACCATTATTTTCACTTGACCGGAGCACATGCAACTTTCGCCCGTAAAGGTAATGGGCGTGAAGTTTCCGGACAACATGCGGACACCGTTTAGCCAATTACAACACACCGACCCAACTAACCAATCTGAGCCCATTGCCTGTTTCTGAGGGAGTGGTTTCATAGTCAACCGGTCGTTCAAATGACAGAGGAGAAAGCGGCTTACAATAAAGGTGAAATTTATGAAAAATAAGCCTTTAAAAAAAAAAAAAAACACGAAGACATGTTATATTGCACCCAATAAACACAATCATGCAAAGAAAACCACCCCTTTAACATAATGGCTATGTTTATGGCCCCAGTCCAGTCTAGTGTTGTCAAAGTACAGACTTCGGTACCAAAATGTAACTATACCAGCATTTCCCTCTAGCATTTTGAGCGCTGTTGAACTGACTCCTAAACACCTCTGGTTGGCCATTGAGTCGAGTCCAGTACATTCATTCAGAACGTCCCTGTAACCGTGTCCAGGACACAGAATGAGGGATGAAGTCCACAGTATTCAGTGTTGGATGAGTCGGGTGGCTGTAACTTGCATCAGATTCTGTTGCCTAAGACTGTCTTGTGAAACTCAACACTGCCGATCAGTGATTTCAATGTTTGTTTTTACACAAGGACAAGCATTGCATTAAACTCCCCTTTGTGTCTTTCTGCATTGTCATGATGATCAGGCAGTTGATCCTGAAAACTATGAATATACACACAGCCAGACACAAATGGGACTGTGTTAAATGAGTCATGAATTGAGAAATATATTTTTCCTTTATCTTTTGAAGAGGTCATTGCACTGTAAAAACATCTAGTTTCAGAGCTCAAAACTTCCTCGTTAGTCCAAAAACAGCTTTTATTGAAACCAAGCTCAGAAAACGACTCCTTCCGGATTTGATCACATTATGAGGTAATAATCGTGCGACTAGAGACGCCTCTGCAGAATCAGATCGACGCCCACTTCTACATCATCGCGTCTTTGGCCCCGCCCACTGGCTCGTTAGTGAGATGAGAGAGATAAAGGATCACTGGACTAGAAATAACATTACCTTCCAAAGGATCCTGATGCTAGGAATGTGCTTATTTTCAACGAGGTGAAAGTCGTTTGTTTATGCGGTTCATTCACTGTGGATTCTTTGGTAAATCAGTTGCAATTTCGGTGCAGGCTTTTTACTGTAAGATCTGGACCCGATAGTAATCCCACAACATGCAAGTTAACGTGTTCATTCTAATGCCTGAGAATGTAAAAAATGTTTTTCATAATAAATAAATTAATCAAAATAAATTCTCATTTTACACAAAATAATTTTTCTCATCAGCAATTTTAAATTTCGGCTCTGCAGCGGCTGACCACTAGAGGGGCCATGGGGAGCAGAAGTTCAGTGACGTCACACAACTGTGCTTTCACTCTATGGCTGCGCTCAAAGCTTGTCATTTTACAACTATTCAGTGTTTTTAAACGGATGTTTTTTCTTTTTTAGGTTTCAGACTTTTAAGTACTAGCAAAACAATACAGCTATAGTTTGTAAAATACACACTGGTGTCTATGGAAGCAGCAGTAACAATCCATTCAAATATAATTTGCCGAGGTGTTTTATGAATATCAGATTCACTCACTGCCTCACTGCCCTCACTCACTCACTGCCCTCCCTCACTCACTCACTGCCCTCACTCACTCACTCACTGCCCTCCCTCACTCACTCACTGCCCTCACTCACTCACTGCCCTCCCTCACTCACTGCCCTCACTCACTCACTCACTCACTGCCCTCACTCACTCACTCACTCACTGCCCTCACTCACTCACTCACTCACTGCCCTCACTCACTCACTCACTCACTCACTCACTCACTCACTCACTCACTGCCCTCCCTCACTCACTCACTGCCCTCCCTCACTCACTCACTCACTCACTGCCCTCACTCACTCACTCACTCACTCACTCACTCACTCACTCACTCACTCACTGCCCTCACTCACTCACTCACTGCCCTCCCTCACTCACTCACTGCCCTCACTCACTCACTGCCCTCCCTCACTCACTGCCCTCACTCACTCACTCACTCACTGCCCTCACTCACTCACTCACTCACTGCCCTCACTCACTCACTCACTGCCCTCACTCACTCACTGCCCTCACTCACTCACTCACTGCCCTCACTCACTCACTGCCCTCACTCACTCACTCACTCACTCACTCCCTCACTCACTGCCCTCACTCACTCACTCACTCACTGCCCTCACTCACTCACTCACTGCCCTCACTCACTCACTCACTCACTCCCTCACTCACTGCCCTCACTCACTCACTCACTCACTGCCCTCACTCACTCACTCACTCACTGCCCTCACTCACTCACTCACTCACTCACTCCCTCACTCACTGCCCTCACTCACTCACTCACTGCCCTCACTCACTCACTCACTCACTCACTGCCCTCACTCACTCACTCACTCACTCACTCCCTCACTCACTGCCCTCACTCACTCACTGCCCTCACTCACTCACTCACTGCCCTCACTCACTCACTCACTGCCCTCACTCACTCACTGCCCTCACTCACTCACTCACTCACTCACTCACTCACTCACTCCCCTCACTCACTCACTCCCCTCACTCACTCACTCACTCACTGCCCTCACTCACTCACTCACTCACTGCCCTCACTCACTCACTGCCCTCACTCACTCACTCACTCACTCACTGCCCTCACTCACTCACTGCCCTCACTCACTCACTGCCCTCACTCACTCACTCACACACTCACTGCCCTCACTCACTCACTCACACACTCACTGCCCTCACTCACACACTCACTGCCCTCACTCACTGCCCTCACTCACTCACTGCCCTCACTCACTGACTCACTCACTGCCCTCACTCACTCACTGCCCTCACTCACTGCCCTCACTCACTCACTGCCCTCACTCACTGACTCACTCACTGCCCTCACTCACTCACTGCCCTCACTCACTGCCCTCACTCACTCACTGCCCTCACTCACTGACTCACTCACTGCCCTCACTCACTCACACACTCACTGCCCTCACTCACTCACACACTCACTCACTGCCCTCACTGCCCTCACTCACTGCCCTCACTCACTCCCTCACTGCCCTCACTCACTCACTCACTGCCCTCACTCACTCACTCACTCACTGCCCTCACTCACTCACTCACTCACTCACTCACTCACTCACTCACTGCCCTCACTCACTCACTCACTCACTCACTCACTCACTCACTCACTCACTCACTCACTCACTCACTGCCCTCACTCACTCACTCACTCACTCACTCACTCACTCACTCACTCACTCACTCACTCACTGCCCTCACTCACTCACTCACTCACTCACTCACTCACTCACTCACTGCCCTCACTCACTCACTCACTCACTGCCCTCACTCACTCACTCACTCACCACAACCTTAGCTGACAGATTCTGAACGACCGTTGACTGTGTGTCTCGGCTAGCGCAGGGTAAATCTCGCACAGTAAAACTCATTAAGTGATTATGCGCTAAAGGATTACGGTGTGAATTCACCTATTGTCTGTGTGGGTGTTTTATTACTCAACTCCTATTCATCGGCTCAGATTATGTTCAGGCAAAGCCTCATAAACCTGAACAACTAGATTTTAGTTGACAGTTCTCCAGAATCATCTTTGTTGCCAAAGATGCTGAACAATGAGTCCATATCAGTTAAAGATGTCATGCTGTATGTAACGGTAAATGTTTTGAACCAGAAATCCTTTGTTGCACCAGCTGTGATCGCACTCCTTTTAATTGACCTAGCATACACGGATATCAGCTTCTTATAATGTCTGGTCAATATATCATCTGCTGCTGTTATCATCATCTGCTGCTGTTTATGTGAGCACAGGAGATCAGGTCCACTGTTGCTTTAATCTGTCATGTTTCCCCTCGCAGCGATCGAGGAGTACAAGCCTCAGGACGCCACGACTAACCCGTCGCTCATTCTGGCCGCCGCTAAGATGCCCAGTTACCAGCACCTGGTGGACCAGGCCATGAAACACGCCATGGCTAACGGCGGGTGAGAACATGCCTGTCATTTCCTCTGACCGTGGGCAGGATTCACTGCGCTCGCTTCGTCCCTGTTGAATGGGTGCTAGAAATGGGACTGTTGTGGACATGTTATATAGTTTCTTACAGATCTAATATTCATTATACAATTTCAGGACTGAGGAAGAGCAGGTGACCAGTGCCATGGACAAGCTGTTTGTAAGCTTTGGTCTGGAAATCCTGAAGAAGGTTCCAGGCCGGGTCTCCACTGAAGTCGATGCCAGGTAAGAGTCGGGTGATGCCACATGATCTGCACTAGTGCCGCCACATGACCTGCACACACTAGCGCCATCAGAGCTTGTGGATTCGGCCAATCGTGGAACAGTTGTGTCGTCATCAGAGCTCGTGGATTCGGCCAATCGTGGAACAGCTATGCCGTCATCAGGGCTGCGTTCAGCCCCGACAAACCGCTGCACAACGTTTTTTAAACCGAAACGGTGATTCGTTGAACACACTGCTCTGATGACGCAAGAGTTGCAACTATGGCAGCTGAGAAGGCCATTCTTTGTGTTCTTTGTGAAGAATTTTCAGAGCCTGATGAAGTCGGTATAAATATGTGTTTAATACTACAAAATATGCCCGATGTTACAGTTACTGCACTTGCCGCCCAGAACACAAGAGAACATCCCAGTCGAGTGAAGGGAATTGTGGAAACTGAAATGGAAGCACACTACCTAATTCAGACTAAAGCACATCTATTTAGCCTCACATACTGACTTTATTTATAGTTCATTTTAATACCCTGTATTTTCTTTCTCATTTTTAGGAAAAGCACTTAATTACCATTGTTTATTTCTATACCAAATATCATACACTTGCAATGAAGCTAAAAATATAAACAACTACATCATTATGTTGATAACCTATATTTTTACAATAAAAATACGACAAACATGTCTTCTAATATCCTCAGTTGTTGCGTATACCGAGCTGCATCGAACACATTTGTAAATTACTTTCCTTGAACCTATTGTGCGTGTTCACTTTAATACCGCGTGCTTTATATGCATGTTGCTGCTGATTGCACTGCAGTTCTGACACACCCACCAAACAAGAGAAAACGTATCTCAAATCCCGTTGCACACCGTTTCCAGGAAACATGACGTTCAACCCCAGGAACCGTAGCAAAACGTTGCGCACTGTTTTGAACTTGAACGTGCCTCTGAGCTCGTGGATTCGGCCAATCGTGGAACAGCTATGTCGTCATCAGAGCTCGCGGATTCGGCCAATCGTGGAACAGCTGTGTCGTCATCAGAGCTCCTGAAGTCGCTCTGGAGAAGCTGCGCTGGCTGACTCCGATATGGTCTTATACAGATAATACAGATTGTATCAAAGCAGCTTCACAGTGATAACATGAAAATAATACAACAAAGTTTGTTTCTAGAAGAAAATTGCGTCATCGTCCACCTTAAGGCAGATCAATAATATAGTTGAATATTATATTAAATGTCTCAAGTCGGACACAATTTCTAACTGGTATGCACTGCTTTAAGTCCGCCACTGAAACGCTGCTTCATGAAGCTTCAAAGATTGACGAATCTTCATGTCAGCAAACAAAGCATTAAAGTCTTCCTAAAAAAGTGCATTAGATAATGGATGACATTTCTTAGCATTCATATGTACATTAACAAATAAGCTTTTAATCATTGTACAAGAGTTGTTAAAATCATTTGTAGATTTCAAAAAAGTGCATGATCATATGAGTTGAAAATGTACTGACACTTGTAAGCATTTTAATTTACATGAAATAATGATCTGTTAATCATTATGTAATGTGTATTAAGTTCATTAGTAAATTTTAGCAAGCTCATTATCTTATTTATCTTATTTCTAGCTTTGTGAATGTGTATGAACTAATGATCTGTTAGGCATTACATAATATTTGTTAATGATTTATTAATGAAAGTTATTATAAAGTGTTACTGCACTAACATCCATTTCATGATTTTTACGCTAGCATCTGGTACCCACTGGACGCATTATTAATGCACAAAATTAATAGTGTTTTTGTCATAAGATGCTGCTTAATGGCAGGTGATGTTTGATTTCCAGGCTGTCCTTTGATAAAGAGGCGATGGTGTCTCGTGCCCGAAGGCTCATCTCTCTTTACGAGGAGGCAGGAGTCGCTAAAGAGCGCATTCTCATCAAACTCTCCTCCACATGGGAGGGCATTCAGGCCGGACTGTGAGTGTTCACTACAGCTTATAAGATGATGGTGTTACACACTGTTGCTCCGGTGTGTTGTCTTGATGACCGCACACATGGTGTGAAAGCTAATTCATCAAATGCACCTGTATTATTAATAAACGGGGTGAGAGCAAGTCTGCTGACGTCTGTGTGTTTGACTGTTTGTCAGGGAGTTGGAGGAGAAACACGGGATCCATTGCAACATGACTCTGCTGTTTTCCTTCGCCCAGGCAGTGGCATGTGCCGAGGCCCGCGTCACACTCATCTCCCCGTTCGTGGGACGAATCCTGGACTGGTACAAGGAAAACACAGACCACAAAAACTACGAGCCACATGAAGACCCAGGTATGTTCTCAGATAATAGTTCAGAGAGAAACATTCAACATATTGTGTTGTTGATGTCTAAATATCACGACAAAAAGCACAAACCGGCATAATCGGATTGAAACGTGCGTCCTCAGACCTCTCTCTCAGGCCAGACCTCTCTCTCAGACCAGACCTCTCTCAGACCTCTCTCTCTCTCAGGCCAGACCTCTCTCTCTCAGGCCAGACCTCTCTCTCTCAGGCCAGACCTCTCTCTCTCAGGCCAGACCTCTCTCTCTCAGGCCAGACCTCTCTCTCTCAGGCCAGACCTCTCTCTCTCAGGCCAGACCTCTCTCTCTCAGGCCAGACCTCTCTCTCTCAGGCCAGACCTCTCTCTCTCAGGCCAGACCTCTCTCTCAGACCAGACCTCTCTCTCAGGCCAGACCTCTCTCTCTCAGGCCAGACCTCTCTCTCTCAGGCCAGACCTCTCTCTCTCAGGCCAGACCTCTCTCTCTCAGGCCAGACCTCTCTCTCTCAGGCCAGACCTCTCTCTCTCAGGCCAGACCTCTCTCTCAAGATAGACCTCTCTCTCAGGCCAGACCTCTCTCTCAGGGCAGACCTCTCTCTCAGGGCAGACCTCTCTCTCAGGCCAGACCTCTCTCTCAGGCCAGACCTCTCTCTCAGGCCAGACCTCTCTCTCTCAGGCCAGACCTCTCTCTCAGGCCAGACCTCTCTCTCAAGATAGACCTCTCTCTCAGGCCAGACCTCTCTCTCAGGGCAGACCTCTCTCTCAGGCCAGACCTCTCTCTCAGGCCAGACCTCTCTCTCTCAGGCCAGACCTCTCTCTCTCAGGCCAGACCTCTCTCTCAGGCCAGACCTCTCTCTCAAGATAGACCTCTCTCTCAGGCCAGACCTCTCTCTCAGGCCAGACCTCTCTCTCAGGGCAGACCTCTCTCTCAGGGCAGACCTCTCTCTCAGGCCAGACCTCTCTCTCAGGCCAGACCTCTCTCTCAGGGCAGACCTCTCTCTCAGGGCAGACCTCTCTCTCAGGCCAGACCTCTCTCTCAGGGCAGACCTCTCTCTCAGGGCAGACCTCTCTCTCAGGGCAGACCTCTTTCTCAGGCCAGACCTCTCTCTCAGGCCAGACCTCTCTCTCAGGCCAGACCTCTCTCTCAGGGCAGACCTCTCTCTCAGACCAGACCTCTCTCTCAGACCAGACCTCTCTCTCAGACCAGACCTCTCTCTCTCAGGCCAGACCTCTCTCTCTCAGGCCAGACCTCTCTCTCTCAGGGCAGACCTCTCTCTCAGGCCAGACCTCTCTCTCAGGCCAGACCTCTCTCTCAGGGCAGACCTCTCTCTCTCAGGGCAGACCTCTCTCTCTCAGGCCAGAGCTCTCTCTCTCAGGCCAGACCTCTCTCTCAGGGCAGACCTCTCTCTCAGGGCAGACCTCTCTCTCAGGGCAGACCTCTCTCTCAGGGCAGACCTCTCTCTCAGGGCAGACCTCTCTCTCAGGGCAGACCTCTCTCTCAGGGCAGACCTCTCTCTCAGGCCAGACCTCTCTCTCTCAGGCCAGACCTCTCTCTCTCAGGCCAGACCTCTCTCTCTCAGGCCAGACCTCTCTCTCAGGCCAGACCTCTCTCTCAGGGCAGACCTCTCTCTCAGACCAGACCTCTCTCTCAGGCCAGACCTCTCTCTCAGGCCAGACCTCTCTCTCAGGGCAGACCTCTCTCTCAGGGCAGACCTCTCTCTCAGGGCAGACCTCTCTCTCAGGCCAGACCTCTCTCTCAGGGCAGACCTCTCTCTCAGGGCAGACCTCTCTCTCAGGCCAGACCTCTCTCTCAGGGCAGACCTCTCTCTCAGGGCAGACCTCTCTCTCAGGGCAGACCTCTCTCTCAGGCCAGACCTCTCTCTCAGGCCAGACCTCTCTCTCAGGGCAGACCTCTCTCTCAGGGCAGACCTCTCTCTCTCAGGGCAGACCTCTCTCTCAGACCAGACCTCTCTCTCAGACCAGACCTCTCTATCTCAGGCCAGACCTCTCTATCTCAGGCCAGACCTCTCTATCTCAGACCAGACCTCTCTATCTCAGGCCAGACCTCTCTATCTCAGGCCAGACCTCTCTCTCTCAGGCCAGACCTCTCTATCTCAGGCCAGACCTCTCTCTCAGGGCAGACCTCTCTATCTCAGGCCAGACCTCTCTATCTCAGGCCAGACCTCTCTCTCAGGGCAGACCTCTCTATCTCAGGCCAGACCTCTCTATCTCAGGCCAGACCTCTCTCTCTCAGGCCAGACCTCTCTCTCTCAGGGCAGACCTCTCTCTCAGGCCAGACCTCTCTCTCAGGGCAGACCTCTCTCTCTCAGGGCAGACCTCTCTCTCTCAGGCCAGACCTCTCTCTCTCAGGCCAGACCTCTCTCTCTCAGGCCAGACCTCTCTCTCAGGCCAGACCTCTCTCTCTCAGGCCAGACCTCTCTCTCAGACCAGACCTCTCTCTCAGACCAGACCTCTCTCTCAGACCAGACCTCTCTCTCAGGCCAGACCTCTCTCTCAGGCCAGACCTCTCTCTCAGGGCAGACCTCTCTCTCAGGGCAGACCTCTCTCTCAGGCCAGACCTCTCTCTCTCAGGCCAGACCTCTCTCTCTCAGGCCAGACCTCTCTCTCTCAGGCCAGACCTCTCTCTCAGGGCAGACCTCTCTCTCAGGCCAGACCTCTCTCTCAGGGCAGACCTCTCTCTCAGGGCAGACCTCTCTCTCAGACCAGACCTCTCTCTCAGGCCAGACCTCTCTCTCAGGCCAGACCTCTCTCTCAGGGCAGACCTCTCTCTCAGGGCAGACCTCTCTCTCAGGCCAGACCTCTCTCTCAGGGCAGACCTCTCTCTCAGGGCAGACCTCTCTCTCAGGGCAGACCTCTCTCTCAGGGCAGACCTCTCTCTCAGGGCAGACCTCTCTCTCAGGCCAGACCTCTCTCTCAGGCCACTCTCTCTCAGGCCAGACCTCTCTCTCAGGCCAGACCTCTCTCTCAGGCCAGACCTCTCTCTCAGGGCAGACCTCTCTCTCAGGGCAGACCTCTCTCTCTCAGGGCAGACCTCTCTCTCAGACCAGACCTCTCTCTCAGACCAGACCTCTCTATCTCAGGCCAGACCTCTCTATCTCAGGCCAGACCTCTCTATCTCAGGCCAGACCTCTCTATCTCAGGCCAGACCTCTCTATCTCAGGCCAGACCTCTCTATCTCAGGCCAGACCTCTCTCTCTCAGGCCAGACCTCTCTATCTCAGGCCAGACCTCTCTATCTCAGGGCAGACCTCTCTATCTCAGGCCAGACCTCTCTATCTCAGGCCAGACCTCTCTCTCAGGGCAGACCTCTCTATCTCAGGCCAGACCTCTCTATCTCAGGCCAGACCTCTCTCTCTCAGGCCAGACCTCTCTCTCTCAGGGCAGACCTCTCTCTCAGGCCAGACCTCTCTCTCAGGGCAGACCTCTCTCTCTCAGGGCAGACCTCTCTCTCTCAGGGCAGACCTCTCTCTCTCAGGCCAGACCTCTCTCTCTCAGGCCAGACCTCTCTCTCAGGGCAGACCTCTCTCTCAGGCCAGACCTCTCTCTCAGGGCAGACCTCTCTCTCAGACCAGACCTCTCTCTCAGACCAGACCTCTCTCTCAGGCCAGACCTCTCTCTCAGACCGGACCAGACCTCTCTCTCAGACCGGACCAGACCTCTCTCTCAGACCGGACCAGACCTCTCTCTCAGACCGGACCAGACCTCTCTCTCAGACCGGACCAGACCTCTCTCTCAGACCGGACCAGACCTCTCTCTCAGACCGGACCAGACCTCTCTCTCAGACCGGACCAGACCTCTCTCTCAGACCGGACCAGACCTCTCTCTCAGACCGGACCAGACCTCTCTCTCAGACCGGACCAGACCTCTCTCTCAGACCGGACCAGACCTCTCTCTCAGACCGGACCAGACCTCTCTCTCAGGCCAGACCTCTCTCTCAGGGCAGACCTCTCTCTCAGGGCAGACCTCTCTCTCAGGGCAGACCTCTCTCTCAGGGCAGACCTCTCTCTCAGGGCAGACCTCTCTCTCAGGGCAGACCTCTCTCTCAGGGCAGACCTCTCTCTCAGGGCAGACCTCTCTCTCAGGGCAGACCTCTCTCTCAGGGCCAGACCTCTCTCTCTCAGGGCCAGACCTCTCTCTCTCAGGGCAGACCTCTCTCTCTCAGGGCAGACCTCTCTCTCTCAGGCCAGACCTCTCTCTCTCAGGCCAGACCTCTCTCTCTCAGGCCAGACCTCTCTCTCTCAGGCCAGACCTCTCTCTCTCAGGCCAGACCTCTCTCTCTCAGGCCAGACCTCTCTCTCTCAGGCCAGACCTCTCTCTCTCAGGCCAGACCTCTCTCTCTCAGGGCAGACCTCTCTCTCTCAGGCCAGACCTCTCTCTCTCAGGCCAGACCTCTCTCTCTCAGGCCAGACCTCTCTCTCTCAGGCCAGACCTCTCTCTCAGGGCAGACCTCTCTCTCAGGGCCAGACCTCTCTCTCTCAGGGCAGACCTCTCTCTCTCAGGGCAGACCTCTCTCTCAGACCAGACCTCTCTCTCAGGCCAGACGTGTCAGTGTGTTCGCCTGCTCGAGATCAAGGCAACAGTCTGAAACGCTCAATCTAATCTCCACACAGACAAGAGTTCAACAGCAGGCAAAGTGACCGTAATGAGTTTGTGCTGTCAGACCATTAATTTTTTTCATAAGTCAAACTTCAAAGATGGAGAGATTAGAGAAAGCAATGGATGCTGTGATATTTCCGTGTGCTTTAGACCCGTCCGGCATGTGACCAAGTTTCTGCAGAGATTTCTGGATTTTCATGTGCCGTTTCAAGGCTGTCTGTGCTAAACTCCTGTGAAGCGTCCTACGTGTGTGTCTCTGTTCACTCCACTGGCCATGTCTCTCTCAGGTGTGCAGAGTGTCACCAAGATCTACAACTACTATAAGAAGTTCAACTACGGGACGGTGGTGATGGGTGCCTCCTTCAGGAACACAGGGGAAGTGAAGGCGCTCGCCGGCTGTGATCTCCTCACCATCTCTCCTGGGCTTCTGGGTGAACTGAGCCAAGACCACAGCGCAGTCAAGTGTTCCCTCACGCCACAGGGAGGTGAGACACACACACACACACACACACACACACACACACCACAGCGCAGTCAGGTGTTCCCTCACGCCACAGGGAGGTGAGACACACACACACACACACCACAGCGCAGTCAGGTGTTCCCTCACGCCACAGTGAAGTGTACACACACACACACACACACACACACACGTTTACCGAGCCTGATCTTGTTTTCAGCGAAGGACTGTGATCTGGAGAAGATCCACCTGGATGAGAAGAGTTTCCGCTGGCTCCACAACGAGGACCGGATGGCCGTGGAGAAACTCTCTGACGGGATCCGCAAGTTTGCTGCCGACGCCGTGAAACTGGAGGCCATGATCAAGGTGCAAAAACACACTTCTGCTTTTCCTACGGTTTTCCTTTATTTGAGTCTAGGGGTGTTTCTGTTTGTCATCTTTAAAGTAGCAACATTTGCAGAATACAGAAATAATGCATGTTTGTTAAATGTGATGCTTTTATGACTGTTGGCAGTCTGCTATCTTGCTATATTATGAGATTTTTAAACCCATTGATGAGGGACCATATTAAACATGAATGTTTACACGTTATTCAGGTGATGTGGGCCTCAGCATATGCAACAATTTCTTTCCTGTATGTTTCAGGAGAGGATGTTTAATGTGAAGAACGGAAAGTAGTGAAGAGGGAGACGCTTTTGAGGACCACACCCTTCACTCCCGATCTGACCTCTGATTGGCCGGTTTCGCTGCACTCTTTGCTGTGACCGACTGTCAGCCTGCGGTTTATAAGTCATGCACATTTTAATAGAAAACTAATGGTGTGCTCAGATTAAACTAAACCCAGACTAACTCCCAGCAGATTTGGTGCGGTTACTGTAGGACCAATGGCTTTGAAGTTGGCTGTAGCTTTAATAGTTTGTCAACCATTTCTATTTCTATAAAATTCACATGGGAATGTGCATCAGTATTTTCTATCCAGCAACCCATACGTTCTGAGGATGAAAAATGTGGATCTCGTATCTGTCATTAAAACATCTTTCTTCATCGAAGTGCTTCATTCCAGTTTGCTGAAAGCTTATATAAGGTTTTTTTTCTCTCTCTCTCTTTAATTTGTTGGGTCAAATGGCCTCAATCAGATCATAAGCTCTGAAATCAAGACGTCTCTTTAACTGACTTCAGCACAAGGTTTTGAGTGTAAATAGCCAGTTTACAAGCATGTGTTTTCAGATATGGTCTTGTTATAGGAGATAATTCCTCGGCTCTACCATTGATAAAAGTGTAATGGCCGAGTTAGATCACGTGTGCTTTCACAACCAATCACATTATAGCCTTGACATGATTTGTACAACAGTCAATTACTTTGATTTTGGTTGAAACCAGTCCTGTTACCCTTAGTTTGTTTAACTAGCTTCATGGTAAGAGTCCTCAGTAACATTTAGAAACATAAATAGCATAATTATTCTTATGGAGTAAATTAAACAACACTTTTTTTGTTGGAACTGCAACATAAAACATGGTTTGGATTGTAATAAGTTTATAATCCAGTGTCTCGGGACGTATGAGGCGAAACACCTGCACAGATCAGGACACACACACACACACACACACACACACACTCACTCTCTCACACACACTCGCTAGCATTAGCTGTATGTCTTTGGGTTGTGAGGGAAACCCAACACAATGAAAACTCCAGGCTTCAGCTGAGACGAACCAGAAGAATGACAATATGCTTATTTGGTTCAAATTAAAAGTTCATTCAGATGGTAATTACAATATTACATAATGTTTGTAATACATGTTAAAATATCAAATTATCTAAATAGTAAATTTAAATATTCAAACTCCTGGTATTTAGTGAGAGCCATATAAACCTAAGAAAAACATTAGGTGACACAGCAGTGGTCAGAACAGAGTAAATAAACTATTATTCTATTGATGTCTCCTAATAGAGGTGTTGGTTCGTATGGGAATTAAATGACCACACAGCCCTGGAGTTTGTTTAAAAACAAAAGGTCATTCGGCCAAGAATTTTCTTGATAGACAAGGGGGAAAACACCAACAGTTTTTGATCCAGAAGGCAATTAAACTTCTACCGCCCATAAATGCTGAAATCATGTCGCTAAAGACATATATACTTATATCTACTACAGAAAACACCTAGCAACTTTAAACTCAGTGGAAAATTGACCAAGGAAGTAGTCTAGGACACTTATAAGAAATACCACGGTGTGTGTTTATGTGTGTGAGACCGAAACCGGCTGATCTGAAACATGAGCTCAAGTGTTGCTCAACAAGATGCAAAGAACAAACGGCTTCACGGCTGGGAAATGTTTTCTCCTCATACGTGTTCTCAGTTTGCTGGCCATAAGCAGGCGTGATTTCTGTGTCTCTACAAGAATTAATGAGGATATTTGATTGTTTTTTTCTTGTTGAGCTTTATTAAACACACAGTCTGTTCCTGGCATTCACACTCCTTGACACGTAATCATTAAACAAAAGACCCAAATGCCTTAACAATTCTCACCAAGCCAGTTTGGCATCCTTTCTTACAACGTTTTACTTTCACGTTGATGCTAGGAAACAAGATGTTTCACACATGAGTTCTGGACGTTGTCTAATCTACCCAGATTTTCCCAGTTACTGATAAATCAGCGGAGGGAATCTTTCTGAAGGCATCGGGACATCAGGAGACTTTTGGTACGTCTGATTCTTTCACAATCATGCCAGAGATTTGTCTTAGAAGTACGTAGGGCAGATTCAGGCAAACTGGGACAGTTTGTGCCATTGAAATGACTCCTGAATTTCAAAATAAAAATAATACCTTTGAACAAGCTGTTGTGAAATTTAAAGAAACATTTAGGGTTTAGCATGTGCATAAGTTTATCATGATAATAAGACAAAATTCCATAGAGTGTGTTCATAGACTAATCACAATGGACTGACTTGGTATCCCAAGTTTACAAAGATTATTCTGAACGGTTCACATCTTGATTGCGGCGTGTGTAGCGATGGCTTGTGCCGAGGCGAAGGCCGGTCTGTGGACTCTGATCGTCTGTGTGCTTTCACTGCCTCGCATCACTGCCGGATCCATTATCAGCGCAGCCGTCAGTATCGAGTTGCTTGATCTGGACGGATCAGAACAGGTGAGATTCATTCATTACAACAACTATTTCAATCTTTGTTCTGTAAGAGACAACTTGTCCCATGTGTCAAGATTTAAAGCCTCTGATTCAGGCCTCATTTATTTCCTCAGTTTATGGTTCACTCTGGAATGTGAGTGGAGTGCTATATGTAGCATCTATGATAATATCTGAATTTTATGACGTTATGAAGTGTTACTCAATGTACAAAATGCAATGAAAAACGCCTTGACGCTGCATGCTTTCACTATGATGGATCCTTTTGTAATGGGTTAGAATTCAAGGTAAAAAATCCCCTGGATGATTTCCCCTCTTATTTATATGATATAATAAGCAATATTAAACTAGCATTATTTCCCAGAATATCAGCTATGTTGCATGTCTCTGAGGCAAAACAGGTGTTTCGTTACTAAATTAATCTGTGTTTGAACGAATCTGTTGACTCACTCCTTAAGACAGAGACTAACAATTGACTAATAGCAATTTTAATTTTAGTTTTATATTTAAAGCATCAGTTTTTTAAAAACATTTCATATTTCAGTATTTACATTTTTATTTTTAAAACATTCATCTTTTAGTGTTATTTGTGTAAGTGTAAATGCATTTATGCTACCTCTGAGCTGCATTAAATAAAGTATATAAAAAATGCAGAATTCACCATGAAATCCAAAATATCGTCGGCATAATCTTATGTTGGTTATTTGCTACCGTTAACCCACAAATATGAATATTTGTTCTTATAGCTTCTGCAAACGGTTCGGTCCCCAAGGCGAGTAAAAGACCTCTCCTAACCCTGAGTGTAGAGAGCGACAGCCATTAGTGCGCGCGCCAGAAAGAGCTTCAGCAAACTATAGCTCGACACATCTTAATAAATTGTTCACCAAGACCGACAGCAAGTTTTAACCACGTTGATATTTTAAAGCAGGGGTGGGGAACGTTGATCCTGGAGGGCCATTGTCCTGCAGAGTTTAGCTCCAACCCTGAAAAAAACACTCACCTGCCTGTAACTTTAACAATCCTGAAGACCTTGATTAGCTTCAGGTGTGTTTAATTAGGGTTGGAGCTAAACTCTGCAGGACAGTGGCCCTCCAGGATCAACGTTCCCCACCCCTGTTTTAAAGGGTCTTGGAGTTTTGCGCAGGTCTATAGGGTTAAGGTGTGGTGTCTCTGCCGGCAGGTCCGGGCTCATTACAGGCTGGTGTCCACTTTGCCCTGTCCAGCGCTGGATGAAGTGTGCACTGAAGTGCACTGCCGGGATCAGCTCCGCTCGTCTCCCTTGAGAGGGCTTTTCCCTTCTCCCGGCTGGTGCCTCCGTCAGTGGCAGAACACCATCCCTCTAAACCACACCTCCACTCTTCAGCTCGGGTTGGTGATTACAGACGGCCCAAGTAAATGACCTGTGGAGTGAATAAAATATAATATATTGTGTTCACTCTTTAGATCCGATGGAGCCGTGTCACTATATTCAAGAGCAGATCTGTCCGTCCGACCGGACACTAACAGTGTTAACCAGCCTCCATACGTGTCGCTGCCTCCTCCAGTCAGGCAAGGCCCTGCAAACACACTTCAGAAATGCACATAGAAAACACACTGTATGTTTGAAACTTGTGTACTCTCTCTGTGTACCAGGATAAGAGCTGGTTGTCCTCAGGAAATCCCGGTAAATGTGATGGATTTGGATGGAGATGAGATTCGCTGTCATTATGAGAAGAATGGCCTTGGTGAATTTATGCGCCTTAATGAAGTCAGTCATCTTTACCTTTAAATATTCAGTTCAATTAAATAGTTACAAGTGTTTTTTTAATTTGCGGGTTATTGTTTCTTCCAAACACCCATGTGTTTTAACCCTGAAAGGAGACGTGTACACTGTTGTATGACGGCGGAGGGTATTTGGGTCAGTATTCAGTGCAGATCGTGGTGGAGGATTTCCCTGCGTCTGTGAAGAACCAGATTCTCAACGAGGCAAAGCCTTTCTCCACTGTATCTGTGCATCTCTTAATAACAGGTTAGCATTTCATCTCAGTCTTCACAATGAACTAATGAATTACAGTACTGTTTTTTGAAGCCTTCAAAATAAACACATTCAACAACATAACTACTGAAAAATCTCAGTGCTATGGGTAAAACTACTGCATATATACAGTATACCAATCAAGTATTTTAAAATAATAGTACAAAATAATAGAAGGTATGAAATAATTCCTTTGCTTCCATAACACAAATTGAAGTATTGATATTGAAATTTAATAAATTCTAATTTGTCAAATCAGATTTTTAGAGTATTTTCCTAGATTCCAGCTCTGAACACTGTACATTCTCTCAGCCAACTTCATTACACAGCACTGAAGAAGTTCCTATGTATGCCAACGCTTGCATTACAGCTTACGCCTTAAGGATCAAAAGGTTTTTACATAAAATATATAGATATAACATTAGATAATATAGTTAGATTTGTGTATGTACACAAGCAGAGCTTGACAGAAACTTTTTTGCTCACCAGCCACTATGGCTAGTGGTTTTCCAAAGTTACAAAGTCACTAGCCACTCAGCATTTTCACTGGCCACAATTTAGACATCAATACCGTAAGGAAAAACGGCCATATAGATATTTTTAATATTATCTTTAATATAATATTAATTTGGCATCTGGTATATTAGGCTTCTGTCACTTTAAGGCCTGACGCACGGACCCATTATACAGCCTTTGGGTGTGAGCACAAAATCTGCGGGAATGAGTAAAATTATGCTCAATACGTGCAATCCCACGCTGAAGTTCAAGCCCTGTAACGCCAACAATATTAATCCGGGTTTGTGTGTCACTCGCTGTCGGAGAGATTAGAGAGGGAGAATACACAGCTAGTATTGTGTATCCTGCGGAAGAGTTTCAGATATTTCCGTATCGATAAGTATCTTTAAATCTATATTTTTGACAACACTACACGGCACTTAGTTTATTATTTCAGATGCCTTTTTAAAAGACTACTATTGAAAAATGTATGTTATATAAAATTAAAAAATGCAAGTGGCTAGTAGGAGTGACTGTTACACACAACAGCTGAAATGCATCCGCATTTGGCGGGTGTTAATGTCGAGCCCTGTACACAAGTAAGAAGACCGATAAGATAGGGCTGTGCCATGCACATCTGTAGGCAGTTTTACTGTGTGCTACTATAGATTTCTTGGTTGTGTGTTATTGCAGTTGAAAGCGGAGCCGACTGCTCCACTGTGCCGGAGTTCACAGGAGTGAGTCCAGCAGGGGGCGCTGTGATCCACGTCCTGCCCTTTGGAGAAGTCCAGCTCAATATTACTGTGGACTCGAGGTACGCATACAGGACAGTTATATTTGGACATTATATTTGAGTCTTGTACCGTTTCATGCTCAAATCAATTTATCGCAAATAAAAATTTCATTAGAAAGGAATGTCATTCTTATTTCAAATGCTTAGCCAAAAATTAAAATTCAGTCATGTCCTCGACCTCCTGTTGTCCAAACCTGTATGAATATCTTTCTTCTGCAGAACACAAAAACATCAAAAGGCATGTTGAAGTACAAGTGCAACCTAGAGGTCTTCTGAGCTTCTGAGATCTGTACCTGACTTGAATTGCCCCAAATCACTTCTTTCTTAAACCAGACAGCTATAAATTCATTCTTAAAAAAGAAAATCCCGATCCAGTAAAATTTAAATGTTTTTCACCTGACTGGACCCAAATGTAAATGTCAGTGATATCTGAGGCCTGTTGCACTCACTTCTCTTGAGATAAAGGCAATGGAGAGGATTATTAAAAGCTATATCACTAAAGTAACTGACTCACACTTCAGTTTGCCTATGGCACAGGCAGAGGGGTTGGTGATGCAAAGCTGTTTATCACAGACCTTGTTCATAAGCATCTTGAGACACCTAACACCACAGCCATATTTTTGATTAATGATTTTTCTTCCACATTCCCTATTACAGCCACATATTCTTGCTAAGAAACTTTTCAGTCGTTTTCATCTGGAGGACCAAATGATTTTCTGGATAATTGATTTTTTGACCAATAGGTCTGAGAGAGTGCTGGTCAACAATATTTTTCTGACCTCCTGTATACTTCAACTGGCTCTCCCCAGGGATGTGTCCTTTCACCTCTGCTCTTCATTTTGTATACCGACGATTGTAGATCCACTCACCCTAATTGTCATCTGATTAAGTTTGCCGATGATCCCGCTTTACTGTCTCTGCTTTCAGGCCTTTCACAGCATCATTAGTTGAGTGGTGTGACATCTCCTGTTTGGAGCTTAACTTGAATAAGACTAAAGAGATGGTATTAACCTTTTCCAATAAGCAGAAGCAGGTTATGGCGGTACCTACTGTTATTCATGGAAAGCCTATAGAGATTGTCAAAGAGTACAAGTACCTTGGGACAATTTTTGACAATCAGTTCAATTGACTTCTAATACAGAGGAGATACTGAGGAAACGCCAGCAGCGGCAGTACCTTTCAAGGAAGCTCAATTCATTTGGAGTTTGCTCACTATGTTCTACTACTCCTATATTGAAAGTGTCATTACATTCTCCATCGTCTGCTGGTTTCATTCTATAAGCCTCCAAAATAGAAATAGTCTGGAGCACTCGGTTAAAGTCTGCTAAAAAATTATTGGACTCCCTATTAGGGCTCTTTCTATTATAAGTGAACAGCAAATGCTGAGGTTGGCTGGAAGGATTTTGCGAGACACTTCACATGTAATGTTCTCTGTTTTAGAGCGGCTTCGTTGTCCATGTTGTAGGACACAAAGGAGGAAGGCAACCTTTGTTCCCAAATCGGTGCAGCTTTTAAATTCTCAACCATCTCTAGCACCCTTGTTTATCTTGCCTTTATTTTAATTATTATTTAATATATTAGGTATTCATTAATATGATGTATTCGTGCACATTGTGTTATTTATTTAATGTAGGATGTTTTTATGTATAATGTTTACGCTACTCTATGTGGCTTCATTAATTCCCCCTTGGCGACAAATAAAGTGTTTTGAAATTGAAATCTGCACAGATGTGCTGCTGTCTAGGATGAGTGCTTAATCTTCTGCAGTTGTGACTAAAAATACTCAAGGTAACTTGGCCAGTCTCAGAAACAGCCATCAATGTGGCCTATGGACGTCTGGTCCTCTGGCTTAGGTCTGTCTCTGTAGCCGTGTCAGAGTGGCACCATTACAACATTACTTTCCTAGTCATGGTCCAACAAAGCTTGCTGGCCACCAACTCCCACACGCCTCTGCACTTGCTGTGATAGATATGCTCTATGGCAGTGGTGGCCCAAATAACCCTCCTATTCAAGCTCACCAGTGCTGCTTCTGTTCAGCCATGATCCGGGCTAGAGTTCTTTTTCAGTGGAAGACACTGTCAGGTAACGGCGTCTTCACTCGGATCCCTTTAGATCTCTTTTCACATTGCAAAGATTTCCTACATTTTACAGATCATTTCACTCCTTCCAGAATGAACCCTTTTGTGTATCAATGTCTGTACACTAGACATTGTAGTGTGTAGTTATCTATTTTTGCAAATCTGTTTGGTGAAGCCAGAAATGCCATGGTTCTGTTTGATTATATGTACGTATAATTAGTACTGTTATGAGTAAAGGGAGAGAAGCTTGAAGATAGTTTCAAGCACCATGATAATTAGTCACACATCTTTTTTGTCATTCTATCAGTTGATTTTTTTGTTTTGCTTGTCATTGCAGTGTGTCTGAAATCGCGGTGATCGGCCCACCGGGCCTCTTCGTCTCCCCAATGGAAACAGGCAGGGATTCCCAGAGCTCCGTCGCCCTGTCCTGGGTCCGAGGTCCTAACCAGTTTGCTCATCTGCTGTCCATCTGTTTTGCTGCAAATACTCAGAGGTAGCAAGGAGCTCACGGAGTCAACCTGAATACTTCATAAAACCAATTCACGGCTGAAAACTCTCTTCTGTTTGTTTCACAGCCTGCAGTCTCGCATCAGGTGTATATGGCTGCAACAAAGTAAGGCTGATGTACTCCTTTTCCATGTTTTCCTGGTGGTCATATGCCTATAATATTTATTAATCTAATATCACTCTCTTTCAGCACGAACAGATCCTTTGCCACCAGGAACAGGTAATAATTCCTTTGTCTGAATGGCAGCACTATAATATTCCTCAATTGTTTTCAGCCTGTACTGCTTAATGTGCAAGTCAAGTCACCTTTATTTATATAGCGCTTTATTCAATACAGACTCCAGTTGTTTTACAGATACTGTACACCAGGGCTGGACTGGCCATCGGGCATACCGGGCATTTTCCCGGCGGGCCGACGTGCTTTGTGGGCCAATACATCTCATACTAATTTTTTTTTTTTTTTTTTTTTTTAACGGCCCATAAAACTCGTACATCGGCGGCCCATTGCGTTTAGTTGTGTTTAATTGGCGGCTCTGGGATCTTTGTGCCGGTGTAATGCATTGGACAAAAAAGTCCGCGTAGGTTTTTCTTTTTCTCACAGACCGGCCAGAGTCACTCTATATGGCTCTGAGACCGGCGCATGATGAAACGCGTAAATCAGCGGCCCATTGGTTATTTTCTTGATTGACACTGGGCTGGTCCAATCACATCTTTAAACTCCTCCCCCTTTGAGCTCTGAGTGAGCGAGCAGTGTCAGTGTGTATCTGTCAAAATAGTCGGAGAGATGGAGAAGAAACGCAAGGAATGTGCAGAGAAATAGCGTGAAAAAGAAACTTCAAAGGCCCTTCAAGTGTCTGAGGAGGATAGCGAGGAGGATAAGGAGAGAGATGAGTGAGTGCAGAGAACTGTGGTAAGCAGAACTAGGCTACTGTCACAACAACACTTATGGTGTGTTCACACACCGAACGCGAATAGAGCGTCAAATACGCGTCTATCGCGTTTAGTTAGACGCTTGAACATTCGCTCCAGTTCAAATTTTTCAACTTGCGAAGAGGACATTCGCGGCAAACGCGTCGCCCAATTCGCGTCATTTGCAACGCCTGGCGCGTCCAATTCGCGTCGTTGCATTGACTTTGTATGTAATCTACTCGCCCAAATAATTTAATTCGCGTTCGGTGTGAACACACCATTAGGCTATGTAGGAACCCACTACCCAGTTACGCATTATTTACACATCTGCATATTTGACGATTACGCATTTTATTAGAATTGTAATGAGACAATAATGAGTAATGAGTTTGTAAACCATATTATTCTTCAAAATAAAAGCTCGATGCCGTTTCCGTCAAAATAAAAGATCACGTGCTTATCTCTGTATAGAAATTAGTACGAAACTAATTTGCTTGTGCTTTTATTTTTCAGTGCATTTGTTTTACAACATATGGCTATTACTGCCATGGGATTAATATTATAACTATTATTATGTAGTAGTGTAATGTAGACAGACACTATATCACAACTAAAAGAGTTTTGAGTTTTTCTTTGTTCAATTTGCACACTGAATATGGGTTGGAGCTCTTTATTTTTAACTCTCAAAGTGCACCAGATTGATGAATTTAACATTAAAAAGCACAAAATTTTCTTACGGGGGAGCATGCCCCTGAACCCCCCTAGAGGGACAGAGGTGCACTCACCACAGATTTCACAAAAACCTGTGGGAAAAACCGGTATTGCTATCCCAGCTTATAGCTTTCTTTAGGATTCATCACTGTGGAGTATAGTTCAACTTAGTAGTTATTTCATCGGTTAACTCTTACTCACTCCTATTCACTTATGGCATTAGTGGTTTTAATAGGAGTTGGTATACATATTCAAGGCCGTGCAAAGTTCGGTTGTGTTATATAGTGGGCCAATCTGGGCCAAAATGCCCGGGCCGATTTTTTGTCCCAGTCCAGCCCTGCTGTACACCTCAGGTGTTGTAGTATTCCTTATCTAATACGTACAGTAACACTGACAGACATCCATAAGGAAACCAACTACACCTTCATTAAAGAGCACACAGACACTAAACTCTCACACAACAGCACAGAGCAAAACACACTGGAACCTAAACATAATAATGCACTGTCCTGCTTTTATCAGTGTGTACATCACAATACACTACAGATGTGCTCTCTATTTCTGATTTTTTGACAGAGAAAAAATGTGACCTGCAGCAAATGATGTTCAGTGTTTCCACAGTGGATTGATGATCTTTCTTAAATCTTTTTGCATTCTGTTTTTTTCTTCATTGATTCGTGTTCACGGCTTTCTTTCTGTCATTGAAAAATGCAACATTTTATTTGAACAGAACCGAAGACTAAAACCTGAACTCATCACAATCTATGACACAAAAAAACAAAAAACTTATATGTACTAGCAAATCTACCCGTCTCATTTGTATAAAACTGCATGACTTGTCAAAGCACAGGCCTGTCTTCGAAAGCGTCCACTCACTTGTCATAAGCCTGTCTCATCCTCATTTTGTTCCAAATGTAAGAACATTTCTTATGTCTATTTGGCTGTCAGAGTTGAAATGTAAGGAGCGGGAGCTTCAGATGTCTCTAGTGCTGCCCATGTCCTTCCTGGAGAAGCTTCATGTCTCGGACCTCCAGCTGAATGATCCGGCATGCCCAGTGTTTTACAACACAACCCATGTGACCACCACCTTCTCTCTGACGGGCTGTGGAACCAAGAGAATGGTAGCAAACGTTCTCTCTTGGTAGATAGATGTAGTTATTAGTGTCTTTGGATTTCTAGCAATAACACCAGTTTATTCTGTATATTTTTTTCTTTGTACATTTATGTTTGGAAAAGCACTGAGCTGTTAGATGAACACATGTCAGAGTTCTAACCCAACTGGAGTATAAAAGAGAGGAGGTTTTTTTTGTGGTTATCCTAAAAATGAAAAATCTGCCATCATTTGCGCACTACCATGTTGTTCCAAACATTTTTTTTGTTGCAACTCATAATGTAGTAACTGCACATAATGTACTAAGTATTAAATTAAATTAATATAATAAAATGTTTATAATTTAATGTTAATGTAATTTAATGTAATTTAATTTTATTACATAATGAACACACTGTAGCAACTGACAAAAGTTAACAGTGTGATAGAAGCACATAACGTATAAGCAAAAGATGTTTATAATATACTGTTTTTTTCACTAGGACCAATTTCTCGAAACCTTTTTCAAAACTCTTCACACAGTGATGACAACATCAGTCTATGTGGGATAAACTGAGGATCATTTATCATTGCTTTGGCAAAATAAAATGCAAAGACGACATCTTTAGAATTACATGATTTATTTTACACAATCACCGCCAAAACTCTAGGAATCCACATGGCAATCTACACATGATTACATACTCCTTTCGTTTTGTATTATATTAGGTTTTGAACTTAAAACAGCAATTTGCTACATTTCTACAGTAATACAATATTTAAATATTATCCATATCTAAAAAAAATCGAATTCTATCAAAGCAATTAGATGTAGAAGAACACCTACACAAGTGTTAGTCTTTCAGTTTCATTACCATCTATAAAAAAACATGGACCATGTAAAAAACTGCAGTGAATTCTTAACAGGAGAGTGTCATACTTGTTTCGTAAAGAAATGTTACAAAAGAAAACATTGAATAACGAGTGTTCCCTTTCGATACGGTTCACTCGCATTGCGACAGTTTTTAGCTTACGCTTATGGGGGAAAACTCCTGTTTCTCCAAATCCTGAAGCCTGATTGGTTCACGTCTGTGCAAATGCACTGACAAATGGCATTTAAGCCCGCCGGAATGGGAGGGGTCGCTGCCTATATAGTGCACAGAAATGTCAGATCTCGTCAGAATCTTTCTCCTTAAAGGTGCAATGTGTAACATTTTTGAGTGTCTATTAACAGAAATGCAATATGACATCCATAACTATGTGTTCAGTGGTGTACAAAGAACTTACTTAATAAACCGTAATGTTTTTATTACCTTAGAATGAGGCATTTATATCTACATAGGCGCGGGAATCCCCTTCTATGAAGGTCGCCATATTGTGACGTCATGTTTCTACAGTAGCCGACAGCGAACAAACAGCGTTACAGAGCGCGTTTCGTCACTACATTGAAAGAGAAGCCGCAGGAAGCTAGAAGAAGCTAGTCATAAACACCGTGAGTAGTGACTTTTCCCTTGTCAGTGGTGTAAATATGTAGTTGGATTGTTTCATGTAAATTAATTCTTCTCCCTTGCTGTGTTATGGCTTTGCTATGTGGGGATAAATGTGCTGGTTAAGTTCGTGAGACAGCTGATTAGTAGGCTACTCTTGTCATTGACCGTAAACAGTTACAGGAATCACCAACCCGTCGATCTTGGAAGCATTTTAAGTCGATCGAGTTTCCAAAATCAGAGAAAAAAAGCCTATTGTGTGTAGTAAGTGCCGTGGTGTCTAGGGGATGCGGAGGCTGCGGAGGCGCGCGCGCTGTCACAATCACGTCATTTTTGCCGCGCGCACCTTTGGGCTCATGCGGACGCGTCGAGTTTAAACAAGGCTTTACGCTTTAACCAGCTCAGCCACAGTAACAGGTCATATTAGCCAGCTAAACTTTTACTACCCTGTTAGAAAAAATATATAGTTGCATAGTTTCATGTGGTTCTTCTCCCTCGCTGTATTATGGGTTTGCTGTGTGGGGAGAATGTGTTACGTTCGTGAGACAATCAGCTGATTACTATTATTATATTATGTAAGGTGCATTGTGTAATATTTCTGAGGATCTATTGACAGAAATGCAATATAAAATCCATAACTATGTTTTCAGTGGTGTATAAAGACCTTACTTAATGAACCGTTATGTTTTTATTACCTTAGAATGAGACATTTATATCTACATAGGCGCGGGAATCCCCTTCTATGAAGGTCTGAAGGTATGTTTCTACCGTAGCCGAAAGCGAACAAACAGCGCTAAAGAAACCTCATTGCTTGACTTAACCGTACTACTCTCTGCTGCTGACTCAGACTCAGACGACGACATATTTTGTCTTACGTCGGCCACCGTAGCTTCTCATTCGAGTTTGAAAACCGAGGGATAGGCCGCGAGTGACTTGCCGTTTGCAATTTGCATGTCTCACCACTAGATGCCGCTAAAAATCCCACACTGCACCTTTAAGGGCGAAGATCATCTCGCTGCTGAAGAAGACTGAAGCCTCTCTCCTCGCCTTTTCCCGCCGTCGACGAGCCTCGCAGCGGATTCAAGATCTTCAAGCAAGGGGACTCCAGATGAAAATTAGTCTGTATGGCTAAATCTGGCTCATTTACATTTGGACATTGTCCTTATGTTCATTAATGTGGATTGTCCCTTATTAAATAAACAAACAAACAAACAAGCAAGCTGACCAAGCATTTTCCCCTGCGGCCATCCGGCGATTGTATAAAAGAGCACATTTTTAGAGCAAATTTCTGCGACATTGTTGCAAATGTGCGTCTCTTGCCAGGGCTTCCCCACGATGAGGCGGCGCTTCTGGACTCCAGCTGCCCGCACCACGAGAAGCCGTGCCTGGCCACGCTACGCCCCTACTTCTCCTTCCCCTCTTGAGCCGAGGTGAAAGAAGAAACGACGCCGCCAAGCTGCGCAGCGAAAGCCCAGTGCCCACGAGTCTCGTTCTCCCTTCACTTTGAAGAGTCCTCTGTGTTCTGTGTTCTCATCTGGTGCGAGTGGCATGATCTCATTCGGCAAATCTGAGGAAGAACTGGCCCTGATGTCTCTGGCCGCCTCTGACTGTGAAGTGTTGGCGAACTCCAGTGATGACTCCGCCGCCTAAGCAGAGTGATGATGCCAGTCTCGCATGGACTCACTAAAGCTGTTGAAGAGCTGTGCTTGGACTGGTCGGCCCCAGAAGAGCCGCCCGTGGCCGACTCGATGAACGTGTCCTGCAGCCAGAGCTCCACCAACACCCAGCCCTGTGCTTCCCGGAGGTCCATCAGGAACACACAAAGACATGGGGCTCCCACTACTCGGCACGCATTCCCTCTTCGTCTTCGGCTGCTCTCTCCACGGTTCCGGCTCATCTCCGCCCGCTCACAGCTATCAGCCGGAAGACTAAGCCCTCCGATCCTTCTAAGCTCTGCAGGACCACGTTAGCGCTTTCCTCCAAAGCGTTCACTATTGACGAACAGGCGCTACACACCATGGAGGTACTCCAGGTTTACCAGAGCAAACTTCTGCACCGTATGGATGAGTCTGGACCTGATCTGGCTATGTTTAAAGAGAATGATTTGGCTCCGCGCTCTACTAAGCCACAGCCCAAACCATCGGCCGCGCCACAGCCAGTCTAGTGGTGCTGGAGAGTCACGTATGGCTCAATCTCACTGTGATTAAGGACGCTGATAGGGCGGCTCTTCTAGATTCCCGTTTCCCCGTCTGGCTTATTCGGCTCCGCGGTAGGTGGCTTTGCGGAAAGTTACATCGAGGCCCAGAAGTCATCGCAGGCTGTGCATCACTTCTTGCCTTGAAGAGCAAGCTCCACCACTGCCTTTAGTCACTCCAAGATGGCCCCGCCAAACCAGCAGCGACCCAGGCCAGCTTCAGCAACAACCCTGGCCAGCTTCACAACCCAGCAGCGACCCAGGAATGCTTCACGATCCAGCAGCGACCCAGCAGCGACCCAGCAGCAGCCCAGGCCAGCTTTCAGCGACCCAGGCCAGCTTTCAGTGACCCAGGCCAGCTTTAGCGACCCAGGTCAGCTTCACGACCTAGCAGAGACCCAGGCCAGCTTCACCAGCAACCCAGGCCAGCTTCACGACACAACAGCGACCCAGGCCAGCTTCACAACCCAGCAGCGACCCAGGCAGCTTCAGCGACCCAGGCCAGCTTCACGACCCAACAGCGACCCAGGCCATCTTCACCAGAAACCCAGGCCAGCTTCACGACCCAGCAGCGACCCAGGCAGCTTCAGCGACCCAGCAGCGACCCATGCCAGCTTCACAACCCAGCAGTGACCCAGGCCAGCTTCACCAGCGACCCAGGCCAGCTTCAGTGACCCAGGCCAGCTTCACGACCCAGCAGCAACCCAGGCCAGCTTCACCAGCAACCCAGGCCAGCTTCACGACCCAGCAGCGACCCAGGCAGCTTCAGCGACCCAGGCCAGCTTCAAGACCCAGCAGCGACCCAGGCCAGCTTCACCAGCAACCCAGGCCAGCTTCACGACCCAGCAGCGACCCAGGCAGCTTCAGCGACCCAGGCCAGCTTCAGCGACCCAACAGCGACCCATGGCAGCTTCACGACCCAGCAGTGACCCAGGCCAGCTTCACCAGCGACCCAGGCCAGCTTCACGACCCAGCAGCGTCCCCGGCTAGCTTCACTAGCAACCCAGGCCAGCTTCATGACCCAGCAGCGACCCAGGCAGCTTCAGCGACCCAGCAGCGACCCATGCCAGCTTCACCAGTGACCCAGGCAGCTTCACGACCCAGCAGGGACCCATGCCAGCTTCACCAGCGACCCAGGCCAGCTTCACGACCCAGCAGCGACCCATGCCAGCTTCACCAGTGACCCAGCCACCTTCACCAGTGACCCAGGCCAGCTTCACCAGCGACCCAGGCCAGCTTCACGACCCAGCAGCGACCCAGGCCAGCCCCAGTCGAAAGCGGAGCCGGAAGTCAAGCCACGCCTCTGCCCGGCAAAACGCTACCCATTTTAAGAGTGACAAATTGTGTTTGTTGGGTGAAACCTTTGCTTGTGTTGTGAAAGAATAAGTTTATTTGAGAAATATTTTTTTTTGTAGTTTTAGTGCATTTTAAATGTGAAATTAACTGCTGTGCCAAGATGAAAGTTTCTTAGGAGAACTGTGTAGTTTTGAAAAAGTGACCTAAATATTGAGAAATTGGTCCTAACTGTAAAAAAACTGTATTTTATAGCATAATATAATATATAGCATAATATATTTTTGAACAATGGGTAATTTTGATTTAAAATTGTATTACATTTAATATAGGCTTATTTTCTGAACAAAAATCCAATGACATTTTGTGATTATGACCTGCTCCATCATTTTGAGTTGCTTTTCTTTTCTTTAACTTAACTAACCCTAACGTACATCATGAACATTTTATTTCATAATTTACTTAATGTATGACGTAAAAAATAATAATAAAAAACTGGGAGTAAATTTACAAACGTAAATGAGGGAACTAAACAGGAACAGCTGAATGATTAACTACTGAGTTTCCAAGGAAACAAACTGGCACATACATAGAAACTAGGTCAACTTAACATGACAGGGAACAGGAACAGAACCAAACCAGAACAAAATATAATCCTGACAATTACATTAAATCACAAAAGTAGTCAATATATGTGCGCAAACAGTGAACTTAAAATGTAGGTCGTCGATCAAAACGGCCCACATTCTAAATGGACATTGAACATCACCAGGTAAATGCCCAGTACAATTATATGAAATAAATTTAAAAGAAAAAATGACAGAAAAACAAATTAACAAAAAAATATATTTTAATATTTCTTGGAGTACAGCAGAGAAATTAAACTCTTAAAAAAAAGAATGATGAGAGTAAAAGAAATTATAGGAACGACATAAGGTGTGAGTGGTGGTGCTTTTAAATATTTCATTTTTTAATTTAATTTGATTTCATTGGTATCTCATCTTTGATATTTTTCAGCATTTAGGTTCAGAATTGCTGTACACCAACACTTTACGCAGCATCAATCCTAACTCCACTATAAGCCGTGTTGCCACTCTCATTCTCCCACTCGCCTGCCGGATTCCCGGACAACAAGCCAAAGCTCCAGCTGTTAAAATCTCCATACCGTCAGAAGTGGAGACGTTTGGTGCAGTGTCCTTCTGGATTGAGTTCCACTTCCCCGGAGAGGGCCCTATGGCCGCCGAGACGCGTGTGCCGCGCATGCGCAGTTTGCCACCGGTGCGCGCGGCTCGAGAGCTACGGTCTACAGGCAGGATGGACACGCTGGACCTGCATGTGTTTTCCAACTGCTCACTGGCCCAAGCGGAGCTCATGGTGGGCCGCTGTGTTGAGTCAGACACACAAGACTTTGTAAACTCACGGCCTCTGCTGAACCACGGGTTAGTATCAACGTTAGCCCTGACTTGCTCAAACTACTTCTACTGCTAATAGTTATTAGTGTTGGTTATTTTAACAAGTTTTCAGAACGAGTGCCCCAAAAATATCATAAAGACTTACTTTGGGCCTGTATACAACTGCCCTAAAAGGTGCATAGCAGCACACTAGGGATGTGCATCTCCACAGCTGAGGCCGATGCGATACGCATCTCGATGCATAGCCAACGATACGATACATTAAAGATACATATAAGCAGCTACCGATGCGATGCAATACGATTCACTACTCTTACGATGCGGTGCGATCCGGTTTCGATTCGATTCAACGCGATGCGATTCAATGTAATATGATGCTATGCAATTCAATATGGTATAGATAGTTAACTTTTATTTATTTTATTCAGACATACAGCAAATCATAAAGTAGCTTAAGTGCCATCTGACTTTTAACGCATGGTTCTTTCATCTTTTTTCACAAAACCAAAAGATTAAATAAAAGCAGGTGCTGTTTTAACATAAACAATAATAAAAATAAAAAAACCTTTCACAAACAGGTCTTTAATAACTGTATTCAGATGTAAAAAAATATATATGAAAAACTATTATTGGCAGTCACAGGCCAGATTAACCAGATTAACTTAAATGTCCTACTTTAAGGTTTAAAGGTAGGTGACTCAGGACACGCCTCGCACTCTAGTGTAGTGTTGTGATCCGTCATGTTCATGTAGCAGCGTCAGCAGTGGTGATGAGAGAACGCGCTTGAGCAACAGTTCAGAAAGGAGAAATCAATCTAGTCGACCTGGACGCGCGAATGAGGCAAAATCGTATATAATTATATATGAATAAATCGTTTTTTACCGATGCAGATGTTAGAAACGATGCATCACGATACAAATGCCAACTTGTATCCGATGCACTTATTTAAATCGATGCATCGCATCGTTAGCTTTTATGCCGATGCACCGATGCGAATCGGTGAATCTTACCATCCCTACAGCACACTAAAAAGAAACCTTTTGCAACTGCATAGCAACACCCTGGCAACCACCCTAGCAATGTGGCAGCACCTGGACCAGCAGCACTCACTCATTTTCTTCTTCCACCCAAAACACTGACATGTTTCCTGTCCTGTGCCATTTGTGCTATAGAGATGAATATTAAAAATAATGTGGCTTTTTGAGGAAAGATGGATGTGCCGTTTAGATGATATCCCCCTGAATCTCGTTTACATTGACTTACACTGATGGCATTCAGTCTCAGTCTCAATCTCTATGTACCAAATTTTATGAACACATGATTGTAACAAAGAGACTTTTGTTCTTTTAAAGTATAATTGTAGAAAGCTAAAATATAGTTTATGTTATAGACTGAAAGATTCAGGGCACTTCTCATTCTTACTCAGCTGTTTTTGTGATATAATTGGTGGAATCTCAAATGAAGACAATTCAGATTTCATAGCCTCTCCCTTTAATACCTCTCATCTTGTTTCATGTACTTCATGTTTTTTTGACTTCACCCTTTCTGTTTCCATCATAAATCTGCTCACCCAGCTCTCTGTCTTTCAGCTGTGCACCTGGAAATGGGACCTTTGAGATCTTGACGTCAACTTCGACTGTTCGGATTTACCGCTTATATCTCAGTTCTCTGGGTATAATGGGAGACACTGTATGTTTCATTATCTGTGTTCTCAATATGCTTGATAACCTCTTTATGTACATTCTATGTACAGGTGGATCCTTCTTGCAGGTCTGTTGTTAAACTCTGTTCATTTGTCTGTCTAGATGTTTGTTGAGTGTCTAGTGCACCTTTGTGTTTCCACCAAACAAACCCAGAGATGTCCTGATCCATGTGCGGAAACGACAGACAAGACTCTAATAAACAGCATTCTGACCCACAACTACACTATCCGTTCAGGGCCTGTTAGACTCATAAAAACCACAGAAACCAGCACTACAACTGCTAACCCAACCCTAACTGTTGTCCCAGTTGCTCAGCCCTCCACTAGCCAGGTCGCAGCAACCTCTACTTCTCACGGTAAGGGTTTTACACGCTAATGTCAGTATAGTGCACAGACCTGTGTGCAAAGCCTGACACAGCACATATCAAAGTATGTTTGTTCTTCTCTGTTTCAGCTCTGGATAGAGGTGCATTCTGGGTAGTTGCTGTGTCATTGGCTGTGCTGCTGCTTCAGTTCATCACTGACTAATCTAAATCATCCTATTTTATCTTTTTTTAATCACCACTACAAAGTTTCTTTATATACCCTCTAGTCATGGAAAAAGCACATTGTAGGACAACGTACTTCATACTTTTACAGTCATTCACAAATTTAGAGATTGCATCAAGAAACACATCAACACCTCTTCAAATCATTTCATTTTAAACAACTACAACAACATTATGTAATTTCATAAAATGATACCTTTTATTAACAATAAAGAAATCAGTAGTTCAGTAAAGAATGACAATTCTGGCATTTATTCACTCTCATCTTTTTCCAAAATGGACCAAAACAAAAATTCACCATAAAGTATCATAAATATAGTCCATAAGACTACGATCCTACGATAGGATTTGTATGACAAACAGACCAAAATTTAGGCCACTTCCATTAATGAGAATCAGTTTCAATACATTTTTTAAAGCAGTGTAAATGTAAGAAATCAATATTTGTATTATTGATTTATTTGTTTCTTAACAAATACTGATGTGTGCGAATAATTCAGTTATTTGTCTGTCATGTTATTGATTCAATAAAAGTTTTAGTTAAAGTACTCTGAAGGTACTCTGTGTTCAGTGTAATCCAGTTGCTGTTGTCAGAGATCGGAGAGAGGAGCCAAACACAAGAGGTGCTGGATAACAGAAGAACTGAGGCAGTCTGCCGTTCACAGGAGAAAATAAGGACTTGATTGTGGACGCAGAACTGGAGGTGAAATCAGGAATAGCGTTCTGGAAACTCAGGAGTAGTCCTTAGTCCTGGAAAGAGGTCTCACACTAGAAGCAGAGAGGTAATGGCGAGCGCACAGCCCCAGTCGATGCCCACAGCACCACGAGCGAGCAGATGGACATGACTCACATGAGGGTACTGGACAGAAATCAGCTGAGACCAACACAAGACAGACACGCCGAAAATAATGACTCGCTGCATATATAAGGGTAGAAGAGAAACACCTAGAGAGAGAGAGAGAGAGAGAGAGAGAGAGAGGGAAAACAAACCTAACTCATCATGACAGCTTTGTAGCCGGTACAGTAACAGCACTGTGTCTGAAAGCCAAATCAGTTCACTGAGCACACTTACAGTTTTTTTTTTTTTTTTTTTTTTTTGCATTTTGTGGAAAGTGGAAAGCACTGTTTGTCAAGTCATTTATACAGCGCTTTTCACAATACTGATTGTTTCAAAGCAGCTTTACAGTGATAATAGGAAATTAATGCAACAAAGATTGTTTTTCGGCTTTACAGCAGCTCTAGAAAAAGTCATTGCCTAGCACAAGTTTTTAATTAATTAATTTCTGTTGTAAAAATCATTAGTTATTAACTTAGGTGCGCTTACACACTGTTTGTAACTGAACACAGAAAACTTTTAATGCGTTCTGGCTGTTTATTTACACGACAACAGCGTATTGGTGGCCTGAGAACGCAAACTTTGAAGTAGGTTTCAAAGTGCAAGTTTTTGAAAAACTACCGTTATCTTATCCGTGTAAACTTCAAAAACGGGAATCTGTGAAAATGAGAGAGGCATGCACATGTGTTTTATAAAATAAATATTGCTTTAAATAAAACAATGTTCAATAAATATGCAATGATGTTAAAAATGAAGTGATATTTTTAAATATTAAAATTAAAATCGCCAGTAGGTCTTTATGAGTGAGTCATTGAGTCATTCATTCATTCAGTAACAAAGCATGTGGCTGTAATTATGAACGGATCATTGAATCTCACGATTCGTTCAAAGCCACAGATTCGTTCCCGAATCACAGCTGTGTGCTGCAGTTCTGCTGTAAGACTGGAAAAACTGGAAGAACTGGGTGAGGCTGAAAATTAACATTTGAACTCCCTCTCGGGCACTATTGAGACGAAGGTCTCACCTCCCTCATCCTAATCTACATTTCTCCTCCTCATCCCCCATGCGAAGATCACCCAAACTCACCCAAGAATCGAAATGGTTTAATGTGAATGATTATCATCGAGTATTATACATGTTTAGTATCATCCGAAATGTCTCAATGCGACTGGTACAAATGTCTCATTTCCAAATAAGTGTGGCAAGAAGGGGAATTACTAAAGATCTAGTGTAATGACTACGCCACCTTGGAATTCTCAACCCAGGAATACCAACCTAATAAATAGGCTACACAGATTTTTCCCTCAATAGGACAAGAGATGTGGATGAATAAATAATTACTTTTTTTTATTAAAGGACACAAATATAATAAATAGTTCAAGACAAAGACACAAGGAAAATGTTCAAAAGAATACTACAGCCCTGACTAAGACAAACTTCACAATTAAATACAAAAGAAATACACTTAATCAAAAGGGCAGCACTCAAAAATAATCAGACAACAGGACTGAGTGTGGCCAGCAGGGGGAGACTAGATGTGCACCATAACACTCGTAGAAGTAGCACAAGAAATACACAAAAAAACAAATCAGTATCACCTTCACACACCTGTGCACATGCAGAGCACATCACAAGATAATCCACAAGTCAAGCCCCGCCCCTTTACTTTTGGACACTCAACCCCTAATGAAAATAAACAACAAAACACATACACAGAATGATGACCTACACAATTCACAGTAGAAACACTAATACAAAAATAACAAAAATACAAAAATTAACTAAATAAATACTTGAAAGAAAACAAAAACCAAACAAAAACACAACACTCTCCTTGTACACACACACACACACACACACGCTAAAACTGCAGGGCAACGATATTCCTCCAGTCAACCTGCATGCAAAAGCAGTAACAGTTTCTTGTTTGGCCGCAGCCAGAGTGAAATAATGAAAATGACGCAAATCCTTTTGTTTTAATATCTTTGTTGAGACAGCAGCAAAACAGCAGCGCTCCATATGAGCGAACGTCAATGAGCGAACATCGGCTAACCCCAGCACCGGAGTCCTACTCAGCAGAATATACTGCACGTTTGGGGTACGAGGAATCCCAGTCGCGGCAGTCCAAAGGGAAGAATCAATACGCACGCTGTGAAGAGGCTGCAGACAAAACAGTACTCATTCATGGTAACACAGTACACAGCCGTGGGAAACCGTACTCATTCACGGGAACACAGTACACAGCCGTGGGAAACAGTACTCATTCATGGGAACACAGAACACAGCAGTGGGAAACAGTACTCATTCATGGTAACACAGTACACAGCCGTGGGAAACAGTACTCATTCATGGTAACACAGTACACAGCCGTGGGAAACAGTGCTCATTCATGGGAACACAGTACACAGCCGTGGGAAACAGTGCTCATTCACGGGAACAAAGTACACAGCCGTGGGAAACAGTGCTCATTCATGGGAACACAGTACACAGCCGTGGGAAACAGTACTCATTCACGGGAACACAGTACACAGCCGTGGGAAACAGTACTCATTCATGGGAACACAGTACACAGCCGTGGGAAACAGTACTCATTCATGGGAACAGTACACAGCCGTGGGAAACAGTACTCATTCACGGGAACACAGTACACAGCCATGGGAAACAGTACTCATTCATGGGAACAGTACACAGCCGTGGGAAACAGTACTCATTCACGGGAACACAGTACACAGCCGTGGGAAACAGTACTCATTCACGGGAACAGTACACAGCCGTGGGAAACAGTACTCATTCATGGGAACACAGTACACAGCCGTGGGAAACAGTACTCATTCACGGGAACAGTACACAGCCGTGGGAAACAGTACTCATTCATGGGAACACAGTACACAGCCGTGGGAAACAGTACTCATTCACGGGAACAGTACACAGCCGTGGGAAACAGTACTCATTCATGGGAACACAGTACACAGCCGTGGGAAACAGTACTCATTCACGGGAACACAGTACACAGCCGTGGGAAACAGTACTCATTCATGGGAACAGTACACAGCCGTGGGAAACAGTACTCATTCATGGGAACAGTACACAGCCGTGGGAAACAGTACTCATTCATGGGAACACAGAACACAGCCGTGGGAAACAGTACTCATTCATGGGAACACAGTACACAGCCGTGGGAAACAGTACTCATTCATGGGAACAGTACACAGCCGTGGGAAACAGTACTCATTCATGGGAACACAGTACACAGCCGTGGGAAACAGTACTCATTCACGGGAACACAGTACACAGCCGTGGGAAACAGTACTCATTCATGGGAACACAGTACACAGCCGTGGGAAACAGTACTCATTCACGGGAACACAGTACACAGCCGTGGGAAACAGTACTCATTCACGGGAACACAGTACACAGCCGTGGGAAACAGTACTCATTCATGGGAACACAGTACACAGCCGTGGGAAACAGTACTCATTCACGGGAACACAGTACACAGCCGTGGGAAACAGTACTCATTCACGGGAACACAGTACACAGCCGTGGGAAACAGTACTCATTCATGGGAACACAGTACACAGCCGTGGGAAACAGTACTCATTCACGGGAACAGTACACAGCCGTGGGAAACAGTACTCATTCATGGGAACACAGTACACAGCCGTGGGAAACAGTACTCATTCACGGGAACAGTACACAGCCGTGGGAAACAGTACTCATTCATGGGAACACAGTACACAGCCGTGGGAAACAGTACTCATTCACGGGAACACAGTACACAGCCGTGGGAAACAGTACTCATTCATGGGAACAGTACACAGCCGTGGGAAACAGTACTCATTCATGGGAACAGTACACAGCCGTGGGAAACAGTACTCATTCATGGGAACACAGAACACAGCCGTGGGAAACAGTACTCATTCATGGGAACACAGTACACAGCCGTGGGAAACAGTACTCATTCATGGGAACAGTACACAGCCGTGGGAAACAGTACTCATTCATGGGAACACAGTACACAGCCGTGGGAAACAGTACTCATTCACGGGAACACAGTACACAGCCGTGGGAAACAGTACTCATTCATGGGAACACAGTACACAGCCGTGGGAAACAGTACTCATTCACGGGAACACAGTACACAGCCGTGGGAAACAGTACTCATTCACGGGAACACAGTACACAGCCGTGGGAAACAGTACTCATTCATGGGAACACAGTACACAGCCGTGGGAAACAGTACTCATTCATGGGAACAGTACACAGCCGTGGGAAACAGTACTCATTCACGGGAACACAGTACACAGCCGTGGGAAACTGTGCTCATTCATGGGAACACAGTACACAGCCGTGGGAAACAGTACTCATTCATGGGAACACAGTACACAGCCGTGGGAAACAGTACTCATTCACGGGA